TTCCCTTGTGTTTAGGGCATGTTGTGAATCTACCTACGCGGTGGCCATTTTGCTCCTAGCCTTGACCCAAACTTGCTGTTTCATTTGAAACCCACCCACCCACCCTGCACTGCCTTATACAAGGCTCTGCAAAAGAGAAGTCGCAGACGCTCTGCACTTCCGTTCATGGTCTCCGGACCACTTGGTCTCCGGACCGCTCACGGTCTCCGGACCACTAGGTCTCCGGACCGCTCATGGTCTCCGGACTACATGGTCTCCGGATCATGCAGGTTTGGGCAGAGCCGCAGCTTGCCCTTTCCTGACCACAGACCCCGGTCTGCTGGTTGGGCGTGGGCACGCATGCCACGCCATGCACGCACTGCATGCATTTGCAAGGACACGCATTGTCTTGCCTTGTAGTTTCACGGGGGGTCAACGCACCTCCTGCTCCAGGCGCACCCGTGCCCTGGAAGCAGTGCTACTTTCAGCAATCCCGGTAAAAAGAACTGCGGCCGCTTCGGACTTGCATTGTTCTTTTGGGTGGTCTTGTTTGGGTTCAAGCTAGGAGCAGTGCAACATGCCTTAACTAACAAGGTCAATCGTGTCGGTGATGCTTGCTCGGGTGTGTGCGTGTGCGTCAACATTGAGCATTGTGTTTTTGGGCAAAAACCTTTGAGTTGCCAGCCACATGGCAGTTTTCAATCTCGTTAATTGGTTTTGGGCATAGCGTTGGGAAATGGGGTCATAAGTTTCTTGAAGGAAGAGTCCAAGAGCCTGACAGAGCCATGTCGCATGACACGGACAGCGACTCGAACTCGGCGCCCAGAGGCGTGCGTTCGCGGGTGCGAGGTGCCTGGACGGTGATTGAAGGAAACCAAGGGACAATCAACCGTTCTGGGGGAATCCGTATTTGGGGGGACACACCCGCTTGTTGTTCGCCGTTTGCAACGGGAAGGTGCTTTGGGGCAGACAGGGAACTTGGGCAAGGAGTGTTTTGGTTCCAGATTCCCTGATAGGGAAAGGCAAACATGGCAGGTTGGCCCCGGTTTCGGCTGGAACTTTCTGGAGCGACGACGGTTTTGCCTGAGAGCTCTTCTGCAGCTCTCTCGGAGGGTCCACTTTCACATCATTTTTCTTCCAAACGCCCAATAGGAACCCAAAAATACTCCTGAATTGGGTGGTCAATCCCAAGCTTACTGCTCTTCGTGTGCGGTTTGTTTTGACAACTTGGTCCAAGAGATTATGTGTTCAGAAGAGAATCCACAGAAACACAAAGACACATATGGCTATTAGTTCGACAGGGAGCACCCCTTTGAAGATGTTGGCGAACATGACATTCCTTGTAAATGATGCCAATTTACTCAAGTGAAGCAAACCTCAACTGGTGGTTTGGAGGTTGGACCTGGCTTCCCACTTGGTTTCGACAAGAAAGTGCTATCCCAGACGAATCCACGCAAGGCAGAAATGCATGGCCATGCAGCTCGTTTGGGCAGGCAAGCGCGACATGCGGGCCGAGCTTGCTGCCTGGCGGCAGGCGAGTTGGCCAATGTCAGATCAGGATCATGGGATCTTTTCGTTTCAAGCGGATCGAATTGGAGACTTTGCGAGTTGTGAGATTATGAGGCGGAAGTTTGCTCAACGTGTTGTTTTCCCACCTGCAAATGGCCTTACGAGCTTTCTAAACCCTAGAGCAAGATTTGGTTGGGACTGCTTGTTGTGCGACATGGAATGAAGACCACGAAGCCATGCGAGCCAAAACCGGGATAATTGAAGGGTAGGATGTGCTGGTCCTTATGTTTGAAGAAGTTGGTGGCCGAGTTTAGGACCCACTCACTCACCAACTCAGATTGGTCTATGTCAGGCACGCGCGGAGCGTTCGCAGCAGGAGCCGCGTCGGCCCAAGGCGGGTGGCAGCCAAGTGGGTTTGTCCGGACGGGAGCGTGTCCAAATAGCGGGCTGGCTCGAGCCATAGCCATAGATCACAGACTGGTGTTATGCTTTGTTGGCCCGTTCTTATTATGTTGGGCAGCACGCCGCTGAATCAGGAAAGTTGAGAACGAATGAGATCTATGAACTCAAAGCACAGAGGCTCTTTGAGCAAGCGCGTGTTTGGCTTGCAGTTAGGACTCTCCGAAGCTCAGGTAAACTGCCCATGTTGGACCCTGACTGTTTTTACCTTCCAACCTCCCTCCACACCCTTTCCCCCCAAAAAACGCTGGGGACAGAATCGCAAACCCACTGAACACCATGACAAAACTGTAGCAAGATGCACTTCAACCAAGCAATGCGTCAAGACCAGGGCTTGTACGTGAAGAGGGACAATCATTTCCAAATCATGAGATCCTTTTAAGATGTGCCGTCTTGAAAGGGGTCCGTGGGTTATCGTGTTTCCACCATTTGTTGACCTCACTCATTTAGCCACGATGCCCTGAACGTCGTTTCAGAACTTTGAACAACTGTCAACCCTAAAGTTTCCAGTTGGATCCTGGGCTGCGACTTTTATTTCCACCAGACTCCATACAATTCGACCCCGACGCAGCGGCCAGCTGGATCGCTTCTAGGGATGGATCGGACAAGTTTCCGAAGTTTGGGTCCCTTTGGATCCATGGCAACAGCCGATGGCTTTTGTTCACTGGCAGCAACTTTGATGTGGAATGAGAGGAGTGGGGGGTTGAGGAATCCAGTGGCTCCGTACCGTTTGTGAGTGTCTTCACAAGGGTTCCAAAGGTCTCCGACACTTATATCTGGTTTGGGAGTTTACTAAGGGGCCAAGCCAGTCTGCGCCTCACGCTATGATTTGGATTTGGGACAAATGAGGCAATGTTTTATTCGTTTCCTCTTTGGACAAGCTGCCAAAAAACACACACACACACACACACACACACACACACACACACACACACACACACACACACACACACACACACACACACACACACACACACACACACACACACACACACACACACACACCCACACAACACACACACACACACACACACACACACACACACACACACACACACACACACACACACACACACACACACACACACACACTCACACACACACACACACACACACACACACACACACACACACACACACACACACACACACACACACACACACACACACACACACACACACACACACACACACACACACACACACACACACACACACACACACACACACACACACACACACACACACACACACACACACACACACACACACACACACACACACACACACACACACACACACACACACACACACACACACACACACACACACACACACACACACACACACACACACACACACACACACACACACACACACACACACACACACACACACACACACACACACACACACACACACACACACACACACACACACACACACACACACACACACACTCACACACACACACACACACACACACACACACACACACACACACACACACACACACACACACACACACACACACACACACACACACACACACACACACACACACACACACACACACACACACACACACACACACACACACACACACACACACACACACACACACACACACACACACACACACACACACACACACACACACACACACACACACACACACACACACACACACACACACACACACACACACACACACACACACACACACACACACACACACACACACACACACACACACACACACACACACACACACACACACACACACACACACACACACACACACACACACACACACACACACACACACACACACACACACACACACACACACACACACACACACACACACACACACACACACACACACACACACACACACACACACACACACACACACACACACACACACACACACACACACACACACACACACACACACACACACACACACACACACACACACACACACACACACACACACACACACACACACACACACACACACACACACACACACACACACACACACACACACACACACACACACACACACACACACCACACACACACACCCACACACACACCCACACACCCACACACCCACACACCCACACACACACACACACACACACACACACACACACACACACACACACACACACACACACACACACACACA